TGGCCAACTAAATTTAGCCAAAAATAATTCCGCTCTAAAGTTAGCAGGAAATTCAGCGAAAATATCCCGTTAAATGAGAGGGAAGCAGGAGAGGAGGTGGAGAGGGCACGGAGGGGGACGAGGGGCATACCCTCCCCTCCTCCTCCCCAAGAGCTGCACTCAAATTCGGGATTATGGAGAATTAATTGTAAACGTCTTTCATATTTTAGAGTGCAATAGACTACTTCCATAAAGCCCTGCATGCAACACGGCGCGCGTTGCACTCTGGGAACTAGTTGGCCAGGGAGGAGGGTGGCATGGTTTCGGTTTCGATCGACACGTCGACAAGAGATGGTTTTCTGGTCCCGAGAGCGTCATTTGTGGTCTCTAAACCAACCTAAATGGCCAGGCCTCGAAGCTTTAGCACAAGCCTGAGACGTATAGCTTGGCTTAACACATGCTTGTTGTATTTTTGTCCTTGAGCCTTCCTGTTAGCGTTCTAATCGAGGTATGTGGACGAGCCAGTGCTGGGAATCTCGACGCTGCGAAGCTCGGGGATCTTGCTTGTATACGAATCAACAAGCTGTAGCAACCAATAAGTATGCATACATCGAGCTCGCGCCTTTACATTAGTGTTGTTGATCAGGAAGTTTGTTTGTTTCGTGCGTCCATAGACGAAATATTACTTTTTGCAATTACTGTATTTCTTAATATGCCTGAGTATGCGAGGTAAAACTCGGAGGCGCCATTGAAAAGCTCAATATTGACACACTTCTTATCTCTTATCTGTACTGACCCGCAGCACTGCACGAAGCGAAGTCCCCACCCGCTTGCATTCCATTAATATTCCACATCGCGTATGCACATAAAGTTATCCTGCAATCATATAGGCAAATTCGCACATACAGACCGTTTTGAAAAAGCAAAAGTCGAGCACTTGTGTGAAGAGTGTCGCACCGTTCCCCGGAAGTGCGCCGGACGGGCATGAACCCCCATGCGGACCGCATAGGGGTTCATGCCCGTCCGGCGCACGGTGCGACATTCTTGACACAAGTGCTCGAACGAATTCAAAGCGCGTTTGACGGTTGCTAATGGCCATAATATTTTTTTTGTCTTTGTTTTTTTCCTGCCTGAGTATGCCGAGATAATTTCGGACACACCGTTCAGGCGCAGATCTTGGGCGTCAGTAAAAGCTCGTCCAAAAAGGCTTAGCGAGGAGTAGGGGACGCTTGTTAGGGCCTCCGTCGTAGCTAGCCGATCTCAGCGTTTGCGAGAAATTAATCTTCTACCTACATAAAATTCGAGTGGGAGATATATGATGACACGAGGAAGACATCATAGTAACTTTTGTGCAGTAGTGAGGTCGAATTTATTGCGTTTCCTTAAAAGTTCATGCGTAAACGCTGGGCTCAACTTTGATACCTGAGGATGCGGCTTTCTTTTCGCCCAATGAAGTAACAAGAAACGGACGTTTGGTAAACAAAATACGTATAAGGCTCCAGATGAACAAATTTCAGTTCTAGTTCAGTGGTACTAGACGGGATTATTGAAATTGAGCTCAAACATACATTCGTAGGGTGAGGTGACTAGGCCACGTCTTACTACGTTCGCATACGCACGCACAATATCCGGTGCTTCGGGAACCAAGGAAAGTGCCCCGGTCTTTGTTTTGTATCGCTCGAGAATGAGTCTATTTTACGTTCGTGAAAAGTCAGATAATCGAAAACGCAAGCAGCGCGTTCGGTCGCGGAGTGATAGCATGAGGTGAAGCTGGTCAGTCGAAACCGAAACTGAGTGGCCAACTACTTCCCAGAGTGCGCTGCGTGGTATTTCGCCGCGATGGGGCGCGTCGGTTCTGGAAGTAGTCCATTCTTAGTCGCCCGTCCCCTATAAAAATGGCTTCCGCCATTCAATATACATCTGACTGACATCCTATTGCCCCTATCGCCATTCCATTGCTCTCGCTTGAAATTTATGGACACGGTATTACCCCTTTATTGAAGTTTGGCACTGACGTGGTAGGCGCTAGAATGGCAATCAAATGGCGAAAGAACCCTTTAGCGTCTTTTTATTGGCAGGTGTCAATACAGAATTCGGGTATCGTCTTTTTATACTCATCCTATTGTCAATCAAGCGCCCCCGGTGGCAGTGCAATACCGGCCAAATTCTGCTGCAAATAAATCAAACTTTAGGTACAAACCATAGTTATAATATACGCTAGAGGTTCAATTGGCTCTTGTTTTCCGCGGCAAATTGAAGAAAACCATACATGGTAAATTTCTTCCAACATGTAATTTAATCACAATTACAATCATTTCGCTCCAAAAGTAGTTTAACCATAATTACAACTACTACTATGTGAAAAATAATTCATTACAATTACAAATTACATCAAAAAGTAATGCAATTACTTTACAATTACTTATTTCTGGGAGCGACCATTTTCGTCTATATAACTTCAAACAACATGTTAAGCATGCAACGCATTTCTTCATCCCTTGCCCAAATGTTTGAATCGCCGAATATATGTCACGAATTGTACATTTTTTTTGTAAATTTTCTTAAATTAATGAGAGAAGTTAACAATTTGGGATAATGAAATCCTACGTTCTTATATTTTCAATAAATAATAATAAATTAGTTTATATACATGAAGACACCAGATCACTAAAATAAAATTGGTTGACACACTTTTGTTAGCCAGGCAAATAAAAATGTGACAATTAGCCATATCTGAATATTTTAATAGTGTTAATATATGACTACAACCTACATCCACACGCGCTAATACAACCATATTTACAGACAAACGTTTCATTTTTTCCTAAATTATGTACAGTGAGTTGAAATTACAATGGCTCAAACTAAAAAAAAAGACCCGAATATGGGCTCCCGAATCCATCATGACAATATCCACAGGTGCGAAGTCAGCTCAAAAATGCTTATGCAAATAATATCCGAAGTAAAACCAACGAAAAATAAACGTGGAAATAATACAAAAATGCGACAGTACTCAAAGAGGGGCGCAAAAAAACTGGCAAACAAATAAATAAAAAAAAAATTACTTCATAGACCCTTAAAAACCTCAGCCTCGGCCGCCTTTTTTTTTTTTTACATTTTGTTTTGTTATTTGACGATATTTACGACATTTCTTTTTTACGACTAACACTGAAAAAAAGAAAAGAAAAATGCTGTCGACGACAGTGCTAAAAGCGCGAGCTCGTTGCTTTGGATCGCGCGCCACGAGCGCTCCTGCAGCGGGTGCAGTCATGCCAGTCAAGGCTACTCGCTCGCCGCTTGCACGGCCTTCGCAGGTATTCTCTGCAAGGGTGACAATCCGTCGTACTGCACACAAGTACAGCTCCAGAAAAATGCGTACGAAATTACTGCGGCTGGGCTCTGTCGCCTCCGGTACACGTAATCTTCATTTGCAACAGGAGTGACAGACGGCACCGGGCGAAGTTTGAAAATGGAGAACGCTCATTTTGATGTTCCTGAGAACGCGACGAATACAGGCGGCAATGTTGACAACACGCACCAGCGCGGACACCGCCGAGCCGCCGAGCCGAGCACCCGGCCACACACACGCCGAGCTACCGACATTTCACAATGCAGTCAGCGGCATCCAAAGAAAACGTGTTGTTGACGTAGAAATAACTAAGATGTCAAAATAAAAGCTGCTATTTTTACGTCCATGACGCCATTGTCCACGCCCCCTGGATATCCAATCGGTGTCGAAAATACGCAGCCTCCGATTCCAAACCGAAACTGAAATCCCGTCGTAGTTGTGTGGCTAAGCGAAGTTTCGTATCGGGTATAAAACTTTTATTTTAATACATTTGTTTTAGTTTTTTAAGTTTGTTAAAACGTTTTATTGTTTCGGTTCGCCACTGTTTTACGAATAATGTTACGTTAACTTTTTTATTTTCGCATTTATTATGCACCTCTAAACAAAGTCGTTTACAAGCCAATCCAATCCACCGTTAACTTCATTTGCGTCGAAGTTTCCGACGATTTGTTGCGGTTTGGTGTGTCTTTTATTTTTACGTAGAACTCATATCGATCCGATATGCCGCGTCCGAGAATGTATTTTGCGACGAATAAGTGGCGAGGCACCACGCGAGCAAGAATGAACAGCCCTGGAGGTTATGGGCACTACTCATTCCTCGGTGCTTCTCGAAGGTAAGCCTTTTTTCTCTGTGTCCTCCTAAGCTTCCGTTCAAGCATCTCCTTGGTTTGTTTCCTTGCCCTGCCTTTGCCTAATCGCGCCCGAGAAGTGTATTCTGACAGGTATTTTCCTTAGGCGAGTATCTCTCCTCGCGCTTTTCGTCAAACCGTCCGACGGGTTGCGAGTTCTAATCGCGAAGCCATGATTCGGTCACCCAACACGTCGGTCGACCTGTCAAACGTTTTATCGCACGTGGGTCGTCACTTCGCGTCGGCACGCATCGCTGCCTACCCATATCTGTACTGGCCAGGTTTCTTTGTCGGCCCGCGCGTCTTATCGCTGTGGCTGATCTCAAGCGACGCGAGCGAAACGCGTAAAAAAAGAAAACATTGTGGTTGGAGCCGTTTGATCTACTGCACTATATGTATATATAGAGAGAGTAAAGCTATACGCACTCCGGAGTGCACTTCGGACGGAAATGGCTATACGCACTCCTCCGAGAGATCATGCCGCTCGGGCCACCCTTTTAGAACGGCGCGTGTATCACTGGGGAGCTCGTTAACACAGGCCGCCGCCTGCGTTCACGCCGCTTCGCGGCGACAGTATCGGCTGCTAATTACAAATCGTAACCAGTACACGCCGCTTCGCGGCGTCCAGCCGGCAATCCAAGCCCCGCTGTCCCCGATCGCACCTCGAAAGGGAGTCCCATACCATTTAGTTTTGCAAAGTTTCTCAACAACACTCGATTTTTTCTTTTTACTGTTTATAGCAAAAAAAAAAAAAAAAGAAATGTCCTAAATATTGCCTAATGCCTCGACAAAACAAAATGTTTGAGAAAAAAAAAAAGAAAAAAGCAGGCCCACTGCGGATGGAACCCGCGTCCACTTGCGTATGAAGCGGACACCTTGACCCCTATGCCATGCCTCCGCTTAGAAAATTCGTTGTGACCACTCGTTTTATGCGAGAAAAGCGGAGTGCGTATAGCCATTTCCGTCCGAAGTGCATTCCGGAGTGCGTATACCTTTATGCATAGCTGATCCAACCTGCATTCTGTTTTGCCATTGCCGGTAGCAAATTGTGTCTGTTTAGTATTGCACACCTGCCAACTTCCCCGTATTACCCAGAAGTCTTTTAAATTTTGATCAGTTTGTATGATTGACAGAAAAACCTCCCGAAAAGAGAAATTACCCTCCCCCTCTCTTTTGTACTAAAGAAGAGTTTTTGCCATCACTGTGGACGGCTGCAATCCCATGAGCATAGGCAGTGCAATATATAAATATAATGAAGTTGTCTTCATGCAAATTTGTTCTCAATATTTCTTTTTAAAACACCCCCCCCCCCCTCCCCTGCTTAGAAATTATCCCGAATTTGGTGTCCCCAAACTTGGAAGGTATGGTACTGTCTGTGCCTTTTCTATCTTGTGTCATTTATGTAACGTAATATATCTGTTCTTCATATTTATAATCGCTGCAGGCCTGGTCAAGGAGGAGTTGCTCAGTGAACTACTAGTTTGAGTTCCCTGAGACGGACACCACTGACATCACCTACAGTGCCGAGGTACAGGCTTAATGGCAGATATCAATAGGAGATGATGGTAAGCTGTCCTATTTATTTAGCAGTGTCGGAGTAACTCACTTGAGTTTTCATCACTGTTTTCGCTGGCAGTTTGTTGCCTGCACACAAAAATGGTCCATTAATTGTCCATGTCCATTAAAATTGATGCAGCCTTCACACTTCTGCGGTTTAGAGCGATTCGCAGACATATGTCGATCATAGTCGAAACAGCGTGGCTCATCATTAGAGTTGAATGCTGAGTTTCGCTTGGCAACTTTTTGGCCACTTCGATCACAACAAAACATTATTTGCCTTCTCAGGTACGCGTCACGTCTGTTTGGTTGGACAGCCACCAACTTGACTTGGATGTCAGCGCCTGTTGTCATCAGAACCTGGTTCTTGTGCTGCCACATCATTTTTGGTGGTGGCGCTGTCGTCACCTCCCAGCGTTTGCGCTCCCCGACTTCCCATTCAAGATGGTGAGTGGTATACTTGTGGGGGCCTTGCTGCTGCAGGTGCTGCCATGTAGCTCTGGCTCGTGGCGGCTCCACCGCCATCATTTGTGCTCCCTGTGATCCCAGCCGGAGTGGTGACAGGGATTATGCAAGGGCTCTTTGTCGCAGGTGCTGCCACGGTCTTTGGCTCGTGGGGGTGCCGTCGCTACTGACAAAGCCTGTGCTCCCCGTCGTCCCTGTTGAAATGGTGGCTGGAACTTGGAGAGGGTTTGCCGCCACAGCCGGTCAGTTCAAGTTCCGCACATTCTGCCGTAGCCCTTGGGAATTCGTTCTTTCCATGTTGAGGTTCTAGTAGGCGAAGTCCACCGCTGTTGAGCTACATGGCACCACAGCAGTCAATCTGCAGAGGGGCATTGCCACGTGACCACATTTCTGAAATGTTAGAGCCTTGTTGTGGACATGGAGGCCGGTGTGAGAGATTTAATATGCGTCTGGCACATCTGCCCGGCGAAAGAACTCATGGGTGTGCCACATGGAAAGTGAGCAGACTGTGCAAGTCTCTTTTACAAAATGGCGCTAACAATATGTAGTGTCTGAATCATTATTGTCTTACATAGGTGATACTTTCTTGGCGTAATGTGTTAGTAGATAGCTATGGTGTTATTGCTTAACTCTGAACAAGATACAAAGTATGAGACATTTTCAGGCCAAGTAAAACATTTCTGCTCACTTTAATCTTGAAGATCTTCCAGAGTTTCACATCATCCAGCAATCCTGAAGGCGATGCACCACATGTAATTATAATTAATATTCCCGCTCTTAGTTTACCAGGAAGGTGTTCAAAAAATTGTAAGTAGTGTTAGTTGCTTAGGAGAGCGATGTGTTGCACCTTGGCGTTCCATTCACTTTGGGATGAGGTGCTTCATTCTTGTGCGTCCTTTGTTGTTTCCTTAGCCCCTAAAGATGTTGGAGATTTATATGTTTTATTTTTGGGGAAACCATGTTATGTTAGTATCTGGCATGTTTTTTTTTCTTATTGCTGAAAGCTGTTTGAAGTGAGCCTTTTGTCCACCTAAGAGCATAATGATTGGGAGCTTCACTCAGGTGTGTTTTCTGGCTACACCACAGAGCATGATTGTAAGCATAGATGCACGCTATTGATACCAAGATTGGGACTTCAGAGAGGATCAGTCAAGTCTTCCTATTTTTATTTCCATTGATTCTTTGGCATTCTAGATATCTTTTTGTAAGCGTGTTCACGTAAGCTTGTTCAACTTTCTGGGTCATAGTATCGGGTCGTTCTGTAATTATCATATGCTTTATGCATTTGTCATTAGTCTCATCTGAAGTTGTCATGGGCACATGGCTGACACATTTGGTGCTGCTTTGATTTGGAGGGTAAATATTGTCCGCCATAGGTCTAGCAAACTTCATATATTCTACACCAAAATTTTCTCGTAGACCTGATTACTAGGCAATAAGCTCCTTTTCAATATGTGCATTTACTTAAATTGAAAAGCCAAAAGGCTTTTAATAATCAGTCACATGCAGAATAAGAACAGTGTTTCTGCCACCTAGTGTGGGAGAAAATGGGTGGGGGGGGGGGGGGTGGAGGCCAAAGCAAACGCAATCAGTGTGAATACAACTCTAGGACTTATATGCGGGGTAAGTGAGGAATTTGAACTGTCTACCAAGACCATGTAGCTCACACATTTAGCAGAGGATAATTGGGTTTGATTTAACAAGGTATTGGGGTGGTTGTAAAGCTCCTATACAGCCCCACATGGAGTCACCCTGCATGCACTGATCTAGACTGCTCGTTTCACATAGATTTGAGTGACCTATTGATCTAACTGCTTCTTTTATTTGCAAATTTTTGTGTTATTCAGGATAATTGGGAACCCAGCAAAAGGTTGGCATGTCATGTAGTAAACATGCCATTGTACAGTGTGCTTCACTCTAAAATGTAATGCATGAGCAGTGGCCAAAGCTGATGACACTTGTCTAATGAGGAAATCAATGATACTGCACAAACTGAAGCATATCTTCCTGGGACCGTTGCCATTCCCCTATACAATTATTGCATGACCTCCTTGTTTTTTTTTTTGTTGCCCTCAGTTAATTTGACGAGGACTGGATTGCTGTTATCCTTAATAGGTCGGCGTGTCACGTTTATCTTGAGGTCCAATTAACGGGAAATTTGTTTTGATAAGTTAAATAAGGGGAACAACAAAATATTCAGAGCAATGTCTTTTTTTTTCTTTCTATTTTTTTGCATCACCGAAACATTTATTGGTCACCGCATTGAAACTGGGAGTGTAACCCACGAAGAGAACTGCAGTGCGACCCTCCAGTCTCTGCCGTCAGACGATGCACACATTCTGCAACATAAGTGCAGGATCAGCTTTTTTTTTTTTGGGGGGGGGGGGGGGGGGCGATTTTTCTGAGATGACATGAAAATGTTGTGGTCATCACCATCAAAGTGATTTGTTGTCTGCATGTTGCCTGCTTTAGTGACAAGGCCACTGACAAGCCGCTTCACGGGTACTAAATTGAACCGCTTGACAAGTTGCTCAAACAATAGTGATACACAAATGGCAGTACGAGGACAAGTTGAAGAACCACAAGTAGCGCTTGTCCTATCACTTCTTCAACTTGCTGTTGTCCATAGCACTATTTGTGTTTTGCTCCTCTTCATCTGCTTCATAAAGAGCAAATATATAAGGCTGCTTAATAAAATGACAGCGTCCGTCAAATCGGTAAACATTTCTCTGTAAAACATATTGCCCTGGCCAAGTCCAAGTCTCGTTTTCACGGTGAGTCGCATAGTGAATCGGCTAACAATGGTTGATGAATATGATGTACTTCTACTGAATCAGTAGCATACTTCAATCTCTCTTCTGCACAAAACTTATGTTTCGGAGCGGTTGACATAGTGTTTTCTCGACAGCCGAGGGGCTTGAAGCAGGTGCTTAATGTCTGTGAGCCTCCACCATTGAAATTTTAACTTGTCACTTGCTCTAGAACTTGATAATGGAGCAATGGCAGATTTTATGAAGTTTGCGAAACCGGCGTCGGAGACCTTCGAATGGGAAAGGTTTACAGGGCTAGAAAAATAATGACAGCACGTCCTCACTCACAATTATCTGTAATAAAAAGACGGTGCCCAAAGAACTGTAGCTAGTTTTAAGTGTCACTCGCTGAAGCGGTTTGTATATTGTGTTAATTCCTGCATTTTGCTGTTTTTTTTCTGTTTCAGGATCCAGTGTTACATTCCTGTGGCTTTTTGGTTGTTTCCCAATTATTAAAGGGAGTTGCAGGCTTATCATGAGCGACACAGTGCTTTAGTGAGTGTACCTTTTATTTACTGCTTGGCCAATCAAATCGAGTGGCTTTGCAGGAAACTTTCTACAGTTTCAGGATGTTTGAGGGTGTGTTCTCCTTCAGACATTCTGAAATGGCACAAATTTTTTTGTGCTGCATCATTATACTCTGTTGAATGACCAGCTGAAATCGTAGTAGAAGCTACATGCTCGTTGGACCAGTGATATGCCTACCTTTCGCCATGTGTTACACTCCCGCCCATAACCATGTGTAGAAGGCGGGGTCAGGTAACGAGAGGGAGGTGGTTGATTGATCCGGTGGGTGCCTAGTTACCACCACAGTCAACTTAGAGGTGAATGTTAATTACTCAAGCTTTAAATAGGTCACAGTACTCAAAGCTTGAGGAACACCTGAGAAGTTTTTAGAATGTTTTTATTTACCGTGTCTACTCGCTCCATGAGTCTCAAACTACGTCCAACTCGGCTAGCCATCAAGCCAATTTTCTTTCGCCGCCAAGCGGCCAGGCCACTTCAAACCAGGCAAAGCATAGCGGTACATGCTTTCATGGCTGCAAGTGTGTAGTTGCGGATGTGATCAAGAGTGAAACCGAGCGGCGCATACACGTAACAAAGCTGGGGTCGAGGAATTGTCCAGCTTTGGACATGTTTCGCCCACCGAATGCATTGATGTCAACAAACACGCGGTCATCTGTAGTGTGCTTTCGGACAGTGAAATCGTGAAAGTGGTTAGGCCTAAGGACGGTCGCGTCACTCACCATGCTGAGTGAGCTTCCCTAGTAAAAAAATCTTAAATGTATAAAAAAAATGTATGTCCAACAAACGCGTATGATCCGATAAGATCATATAAGAAAATACAAGAACCTTATAAAAACATATAAGAACAATATAAAATTATATTTGAAGTTATAAGAAACTTCTTTTCAGTTTCTTAAAACTTCTTATATAATCTTATATATTTCCTATATTGTTCTTATACGTTTTTATAAGGTTTTTATATGATCTTATTTGGTCATATGCTTTTATTGGACACCTAAATTTCTTACATGCAAGATTTTTTTACTATTCACTAGGAGGGCGCTTTTCCTTTGACAGAAGGTACACCGAAAGCACCCTAAAAAAAGGTTTTCAAATTGTAGAACATGGTTATTGTAGCGCACCCACGACCAGCCGTCAATGCGCCTCCGTCAGTGGAGACATGCCACAGTACTTTGCCGTGTCATACTGCCACCTAAAATTACATTTTCGCGAAGTGTGTAAATGCAGAAATGCACCCTGCATAATGAACGCACCCCCGAAATATATGTCAATTTCAGAATAAAGAGGTGTGTTTATTATGCGGGTAAATATGGTAAAAAAGTGAATGATGACTCAAACAAATGCAAAACTCATACATTGGAATTTGAAAAAAATCACCAACCATATCCTACAACAAGGTCCCAACGTTTCAAAAACAGCTTGTTTTTTTCTTCAGGGGTGACTGCTTCCAGATAGGGGACAACAGCTTCGTTTTCTTCTACGATAGTCTCTTTTTTTTTCACTTCGTTAGGTGGCTGAGTCCGTTCACGTAGCATGATGGCAATGTGCCAGTGGACCTATTGATGTTTCCTGGTGTTGTTTGGATATGCCATGACTATAAAAAGCTGCTGGCAGAAGTTTGTCTCAACATTTATGAGGGTGTTGGCAAAGTTGATGCGATATTCATTGTCCTCACAGTGCTCTGCAACAGCGCTGCGCTCGTGGTCGAATTTGCAGTTGTTTTTGTGTTGTTGAATTCTTTCTGGGAAGTTCTTTGTTTTTCCAATGTAGGTGGCATGGAATTGAATATACAATGCCCTGCGCTCTTTGTTTAGAGGGATGACCTTTAATTCGCAGCATCATACGTCAAAGTGTTGATACCGGTTTGTGGGACACCTGAATACTTTCTTTTACCAGCATACATGACAGCGCTTCGCTAGTCCCCTTTATGTAGGGAACACAGATGCGGGTGTGTGGACGGATGTTTTTGAGTTTTTAAGCTTTCTCCCGACCAGGCAGGCCTCTGCCAAAATGTTTACCCTCAAAACTTGCACTGCATGTAGTAATGGCTCTTGGTCTGCGAGAATTTTTGTTTTAGTTTTGTGTTTGTTGAGCATTATTGGGCAAATGACAAAGGCTATGCCGCCTCATTATGACCACAGTAAAAAGAGCTATACACTTGATAACATAGTCCTGTCATGTTTTTGCTTTGAAAAAAATGTTAACACACAAGATTAATCTATTTCTTGACCCCTTGACTGGGGACCCATGACCAAAAAAAATTTTTTTTGTCCCTATTTTGCCTATATTTTTTTGTACGAAACTTTTCTTGTGCTACCATCATAGCTTTAATTTCTAAAGGAAAATTATTTCCGATGTTAGGTGATAGATTGTGCTTCCTCCCGTACGATAAAAGGAGTGAGCGTTTAAAGACGCACTCCCCAAATTGATTGAAGAGTGGTGCATCTATCAGTGCGCCCCCCAGGCTGCTGTTAAAATTGCCAAGCATCCAAAGTTCTTATCAAAAGTAATAGATAAATCTTTGTCTAAGGTGAAGTGAATATTTACATTAAATTCAAGTAATGACGCAATAACAACATGGCAGTGCCCAGAAGCTGCATGCGCATGAACGAATTTCACCATCCAAATGGATGAATGACCCTTTTGGCAGAACTGGACTATGAGGAAAAGGGTACCAATACTTGAGTGTAGCTTTCTAGGGGCTATTATCATTTTAAATTGCAATTCTCATTTGCTCTTTCAGCTCGCACCTTCACGGAGTACAGCAATGTGGGGAAGCAAGTCGAGGACAGCCTCTCTCAATTTCTGTCCCGGGGGCGCTATGCTCTTCCAGGTAAGCTGCTTCCTCTTAAGAGACACGAGTAGACCCTTTTATTCGAGACAAGAATGACGATAATAATCACATCAGATAAAATGGGGAACAAGGGGACAAAGGAGATTCCTCTTTGACCTTTCTCCCCCTTGTACCCCTTTTCCAGGGATTATTATTGTATTCATACTTATTACATTATTGTGGAGTTCACATTTTGACAACCTGTGGTTGGCTGATGTGTTGTGGAAGTTAAAGCTATTGCACATTCAAACATTGTGTGAAATACAGTAGAACCCTGCTGCTGCATCTTTATGCAGTCGTAATAAAGGATCATGACATGATCGAAGATGTAACAACTGATAATGCCCTTGGGATAGCTATAGATGCTTCAGGAAGCTGTATTCTCTGTTTATCTTACCTTAGCTTTTATGGCTGTAAAAAAGATTGCCTTATTTTATATGTTGACAATTTTTTCAACACTTCTTAAAATTGTGGTTGAACTATAAGTAACACACTGTTTACAGACAAGCTTGTGTTTGCCCACAGCAGCTATGGGCACTGCATACGCAGGAACTAGATTCGTGTGAGCAGACATGTGTGTACATGTGCTGTGCCGACAGCCGCGCCATCGCAGTGATGCGTTGTCTATAGTTGCAGTTAAAAAAATATTGAAGTATAAGGATGCAAAAATTCTGAGCCCATCGAGCTAAACCACAGCTGCCTCAAACAAATCACTGCACCCTGCATGCCACATCAAAGCAGTGGGGCTTGATGCAATCAGCACTGCTTGAACATGGTGGCATGGAGGTGGTAAAGAAAAATGGGGTGTCGTGAGAGCCTGAATCTCTTATTGTCATACAAGTCCAAGCAAGAAACACAGTGAAGAGAGGCAAAAAGGTAAAATAAAGGGAGTAAAGCAAAAGGAACAGGGTGTGTGTTTCTAGTAGTCATGCCGGCCACCTTGAGTGGCAGTGTTTGGGCATAAGAACCAAGAAGGAAATTCATGAAGCCTGTAATTCTAACACATATATACTTTTGGACGTTCGATAGGACCGGTTTCCGTGAACATAACAGCCGAGAAAACATGTGAGCAAGGTTCTTCTGTGCATATTTTTGAATGTGCTGCAAGAATATTTCTGGTTATATGCCCACTTAATTTATAATGTTTTTCTTCTTTCAGCTGACACCTTACAGACATGTCAGGAAGCAAGGAAAGGTTATTTTTTCACTCATCGTTTACACTTGGGTGATTAACTTAGTCTTGAAAAAAACACGTCATTTTAATGACATTGTGATAAATAAATTTTGGGTCTTTAAATTGTCCTTCAATCTTTGTTTTCTTCCCATATTGCAAGCCGGCACTATGTGTATCAGGCATGGAATCAATGGTAGGCCATGTAAACTATTGCAGTTTTTCGGCTGGCCAGCTTAAAGTTTACGAGGGGTTGACAATGGCGAAATGGTCACGAAATTCAATCAACCCTATTGAAAATTCCATCAAGCTACGTAATTTGGGACACTGACTGCCAGTCAGCAGCCTTGGTGGAACGTGATGGACCATCAGACGTCATCTGATGGTCCATCAGATGACGTCTGACTGCCACTGCCAAGGGAATTTCATCAACAAGGGCAGCATTTATATAAGAGTAAAGCTATACGCACTCATAAATATCGCCAAATGCCGCGATAAAACAAAAAGTTCGAGAAAAAAAAAAAAAAAGCAGCACCATGGCGCATCGAACCCGCGACCACATGCGTACAAATCGGACACCCTAACCGCTATGCTACGCCCCACCGTTAGGTAACTTCGATTTGACTACTCGTTTTATACAAAATGCTTTGGCTGCAAATGCAGTTAAGCCGTCAGCATGTTATGCAAAGCACTCGTTGTACATCACTCGCCGTACTTCAGTTCTACTCACCTGCCATGTAGAGAACTTTCGCGTCGTAGAACGATCCTTTTGTTCGCACGTCACCGGCCCAGTAGACCTGGTACACCCTGTCGTCTTCAACTACACCGCTTAAGTCCCTTACATCGTCGGAACTCACAACAGGCTGGGTCTTGTCGAGTAGAAATTCTACTAAAACATAAGACATTGTAGAGCCCGGGCAGGATCGACAGGTTAAAGCAAGCGGGCAAACAAACCGAGTCGAGAGCGATCGTTCATGAAAGCTCGGCGAAGCCTCTATGGGCGAAGCGAAGTCGGCGAGGTGCGAAGTGTCGTGTTCGGCGCTTCCGCGGCCGGTTGTCGGTCGGTTGCGTGTCATATCTCTAACGTCAGCGGTTTTATGGGCTCACGTCCCAAAATCGTTTTCTCGTGCATAGATTACTTTTCGTATTCATAGATTTGACGAAATAGTGGTATCCGAACGAACTTTACGTCCTTTGACCGTACGTCTGTCTGCACGTCAAAGCTTTCTGACGTACAGTCAGAGACAATCGATGTACAGTCAGAATCACCACCAAGACATCCTGATGGCATTTCGCGGCGGCCGACTGCCACCAGGAAACCATCAGAAAGCCGACAAGCGGGGTCTGACTGGAGTTTGACTGTCGGTCAGAGTAACTTGTTGGCCAATCAGACATGCTTGACGTACGGTCAGGCACAGTCAGCGGTCCACTAGAAAACATTGACTGCCAAGCAGGGTTACATTGATGGATTTTTCCTTCGGGAAATGACATCTATGTGATAATTATGCCCTTATAAAAATGGTTGATGCCATTTTGTATTATTGCCAAATGGCAACAGGTGTTTAAGAGCAGTCAATCAGCAGGCAACAGATGTTAATCGTCATTGAGATGTCATCTTGTTGACCCGGATAGCCATTTCGCCACCGTCAACTTTTTGCCGTTCTATTGGTTATTGTCGGTGCATTGCCAGTGTATCTACATGCTAATGCTAATTGGCTATTGGAGGCAGTCAAAAGACTATAAAATGTATAGTCCTTTGATTGCCTCCTTTAGCCATTTAACGTTAATATGTAGATACACTGATGATACACCGACAATAACCAATAGAACGGCAAAAAGTTGACGGTGGCGAAATGGCTATCCGGGTCAGCAGGGTGACGTCTCAATGACGATTAACATCTGTTGCCTGCTGATTGACTATTTGTAAACAGCTGTTGCCATTTGGCAATAATATGACTTTCAAATGGCATTAACCATTTTCATAGGGGGTCTCCGGGTTGAGCGGCGTCGCCGTCGGCGTCACCGCCAGCCGTTACCGCGCGTTGCATTATGGGACGTTTCCCATGATGATTATAATGCATCCCATAAGGACATCATACGTCATTATGGGTGACCCTCGTGAGGGTAACTCTCGTCACACTCGTGAGCCTAACCCTCGTAAACCTCGTGACGGTAACTCTCGTGAGGGTAACCATCGTGAGGGTAGCCTTCGTGACCCTCGTGAGGGTAACCCTCGTAACCCACCAAAATTTAGCAGGAAAATGTCACCCCCGTGACGTCACATATGACGCCACTCAACCAACGTTATTAGAGTACCTCGGTTGCGGAACTCCCGCGGAGGGGGTTACCCCATCTCACTCACTTCAATCCGCCAGCCGTCGTTCGAAGCGCCATCTATACACCGACACGCGGGCTTGACGTCACGGAGCTGCGGCGGCGCTGCGATCGCGCCGGAGCCGGGGTGTGTGGGCAAAAGCGCGCACGTTTCGCATGGGCGTCGTAGCATTTCAGCATGTCGCGAAGCTGTGTTGCCGTTAATTGCACCGAAATGTACAAGAAAAGCAGCGGAGTGAGTTTCCACAAGTTCCCGACAGACTCTGAAAGGCACAGAAGGTGGATAATATCCGTGGAACGAAAAGAATGGTCGCCTCGCGCGAACGACCGTTTGTGCGGCAAACACTTTCTTGGAGGCAAGTGCAGCTTCCATTTCAATCTCCGTTCCGAGGCTTGCTTATGTGCAGGGAAACCGTTGTCTGATCGAGATCACCCGGATTTTGTTCCCACGGTGTTCGCGCTCAACGCACCGGCCAAGCGCTCGTCGGAGGCTCGCTACGCACATGCTACCGAGCAGAAGGGGATCGGCGACAGAACGGCAGAGTTGTAAGCGTTACCGAAAAAAAGTGACGACATACGTCACTCGTTACTTGCGAATCAAAGGTATGCGTTACTGAGCTACGTTATCTAAAAATAAAAGGAACGCGTTACCGCTACCGATAAAATGTAAGGCACGTTACTTCTGCGTTACTTTCTTTAAATTATGATTTAATACATTTTACGGTTTTGACGATACAGGTCATATATCAAGCAGAAGCTGAACATAAATACTTTATCTCTTTTTACAGTTTCACCTAAATACTTACGAGAAAAAACGCAAAGAAAACATGGCTTGACGCCTAAAACACGGAAACAATTGAAGTGTAATTTCTTTAAGGCTTGGGAAATAGTAACGTCTAGCGTAACTACGTTACTTGAAATAGTAACGTAAGTACGTTACCCGTTACTGTGTCAAAAACGTAACGAGTAGGTTACTACGTTACTGAAAAAGTAACGCTTTCCTGGTAACGCCGTTACTTGTAACCTGTTACCGCCAAGACTGCAGAACGGACAAACCTTTACTGGTTGTAATGCCTTGTGGTCACGAGGGTATGAAAAATATCATACCTTGACTTGAAGACGCTCTGTGTATTTAATCAATTAGTGAATACACACACTTCCGCAGACCCACAGTCTGCTGATCCCGCCGGCAGTGCGGAAACCGACTTGATGTAATCGTAGGCCTCGAGAGACTTGTAGGCCTGCACCGTGTCGGCCGTGAACTGACTTGGCGAAAACTAAATAAACGACTACCTGAGCCGTCGACTTCCGTGGCAGCAACTTTACGTCGGAAGTCCAGCACTGTTTACGGCGTACGGATCCTCGTAGGCAACGCCGTCCACGCACAGTTTGTTTCGATACCGCTACCGTTCAGGCTCGGGCAACGAGCTCAAATAGTCGGGCATAGCATACGACATACGTTATGAAGAAATACGACGCACAAATAAAGATACAAGCGTCCCTACAACGTCAACAACGAGCGCACGCCATAGAGCGCAATGGCGAAAACATGGAGAGCCGGGATGCTTTTGCCCACATAGCTACCGCGCATGTGCGGCCTTCTGGCCGTGTTGGTAAACAGAGCCGCTCCGCGTGTCGGTCTATATTTTCGTTTCATAACTATGCGTTCCAAAGAGCCCAGATGAAGCGCCAAATAGCGATCACAACGCCGCCATTTATCCTGCAGCGGTCACTCGAGGAACTGCACGTAACTTCTATTTCGGCTTCAATCGGCCAATTCGGAGCCGAAGCAGATACAGTGGAAAGGGTTACATGGACGCCACCCCCGTCTTCCCAGCGGACGCGCCGCGAATTCACCCCGAAGTTAAGATGAGCCTAGGACGGGACGCGCTGCCTGAAATCACCGCTGAGGCATGGTTGTATGAAAACAATAGACAGTTTTAGTGGACCGTACGCTATAGCTTCGCGTACGCAAGGAGATTGCGGGTCGTGAGTGCGCATGCGCAGAACGCAATAGAAGGGCTAGCGTATTGCGTACGCACGCAACGCTGGGGATTTTGCGTTGCTGGCTAGCGGGCCTTGCGGGACGCTCTCGTGAGATCTCGGACCCAACGAGAGCGCCAGTTTCAAGATGGCGGTTGCCTTGACAGGCGCAGCAAGGAGGACGTGGTGTTTTCGAAGTTCTGTGTTACGTGAAATTGCGTGGTGTTCAGCTCGGCGATTCTTTCTTGGACCTACCGCGGTGGAATCAGATCTCCCTGCAGCTGAAGGAGTGTACAGTGGAAATGTTCGCCGCTCGCAGTGTGCGTCGACGCTGCGATCTGCTCAATGCTAAGCCTATTCCCACAGTTCATCGCCGACGGACGAACGACTCTAAAAGAAATCGCCGAAGTTCTCGCTACGCACTGGACATCAAGGTCATGAATTTCATTCCGTGATAGCATTGATAAAAGGTGCCGTTTCCACGGGACGACTGACGGAGGCTCCGTGATCGAATTCGGCTACGCACTCGTCAGCGTTACTAGATCACTCAGTTGGGAAACTCCCATAGAGAAAGCTTTCAAAAAATGGCCCCAATCTGTCTCCGAACACCGAGCTAATGACGAACACAACGCCACCATTTCTCCCGCAGCGGCCACTCGAGGAACTGCACGTGACTTCTATCTTGGCTCTAAGGACAGACATAGCAGTAGAGGGTGCCACCCCCGTATCCCCGGCGGACACGCCGCGCTCATCTATTGGAGTTAAAATGCACCTAGGGCGGGACGTGCTACATGAAAGGCCCGCTGAGGCATG